CTAGGCTGCAGAGTAAATGTTGATTTAAGCGAAGGTGTGCTACACAAGCAGTAGGGACACTTCTTTCTTACAAGTTGTCAGAGATAGCAATTTTACATTGTACTACCTCAAGAGGCGTAACAAGTCACATACAAGTGAGCAGAAACTTTTCACTGTATATATTAGGACTGCCTCACTGAGAAGCTGAACTGTTGGACAAAAGTGCTCTGATGATTTCATTGCTCAATTTTGTAAATTATTTTAAACTTCCACATAGTCAGGACAATACACTTAATCCCTAGACTTATATATGCTTACAGATTTCAACCCATGAACCTGAAAAGCCTTTAAAAAAATCTGATACCTTGTTTGATTAGAATAGCTGCACTGTTATTACTGGAACTAGATTCACAAGAAGAAAGAATAAACAGCAATGTGAAAGCAAAGAATGTAGTTTCAGAGCATGCTTTAACCATACCCTAAAGCATAAAATAATGCTGGTTTTGTCCTGCAACCTTTCATTCTCAACACAGCACTTACCTAGCAACTACACAACAGCAGCATGAGTTGGTGCAGGTCATTGCACCTAACAAAAGATTAACTTCTATCAAAGCTAATTTTCATTCTAGTTGACAAAACAACCACTTACACAGTGGTCACAGAGTAATGTTTGGATCCTGTGGAAAGTGAGAAGGTGAAGGGCAGGACGGCCCCTCCCAGCAAAAGGACAGTGAGATCTATTTAAGCACAGCATGAAATGCCAAGGATAACTGATATATGGTCATTGATTCATTCCAGATCTGTGATGAGACAGACATTGCAGCACATCTCACCCACTCACACACAATGACAGCAACTCCTTTTTCCCTACAGGTGCAGTGACAATTTATAGGCCTTTAAACCAAAGAATACCATCAGAAATTCAGCATCCAAGAGCAGTCAACATCCTTCATACTTCAGCTGCAACCATTGTGCCAGAGAGCAGGCTACAAACCGTCAAAGCCACTCTCCCACAAATGGGTCTTCTGACTTGAAGATTAGGCTATTGAGCTATAGTTTCCACACACATGGTGTTATTGTTACTTGATTCCATCCAATGAGCTGTGATCGCTTCAAGACATGTTTGACAGCATGTTGATGAACAAACAAGAGGGTAAATATTTTGTAGTTTATGCTTTTAATTAAAAAAAAAAATTGTATTCCAAGAACAAGACACAATCTAGATTTACAGTCAAAGTATACACAGTTACATAAAACATCACCTACATGCTAAGCCAGGTATTCCTGACAACAATCCAATCAACACAGAAGCTATGGCTTCAGCCACCCATTCTTAGATATCTAGTAATTCTAAGGGCATCTGGACATTAGAAATGTCGAACAACAACAGAAGCATTAAAAGTAGAGTAAGATAATGGCTTGGAAACTACCATTAAAGAAAGAGCTCCAATCTGTAAAGCAGCAAAGGTTGAAAGAGACTTACCTAGCTTCAGGTCGCCACCTGTGTCCCCCACACAGTCTTTGTCCAGCTTAAATTATTTACTTATAATCTAATATCAGAATCAAGGAATATTTGCAAAGCTCTAAAACTGAGGTGGAGAAGACAGACATTATAAATACAAGCAAACAGAAAGCTAACTACTGGTACCCAAGACAAATACATCCTTCTGTGGAGCACTGCAGCTTTCCCTTCCAACATTCATGGAGCCTGACCTACTTAACTGGAAATAAACCATGTACTTAAACATGAACGGAGAGTGTTGAAAAGCAACGCAGATGGGGGAACATTCATTTTTAAGTAAGGAGGGGAAAAAGTTAACAGATTACAGCAGACAGTCTGCTTTAACAGATTGCAAGAACAAAATGGCCATCTACTTTGTATCTAAGACGCTTTCATATCTTTGCTTGGCACAAGAGGATGGTCTGATCTCATCCATACGAGGATGTGACTGACAAGTATTAAGTGTGTTTACTATTAAATACTGTCTCAGCAACTGATTTGTACACAATCACTCAGACCTTACAAATGAGAAGAATAAGCAATCCAAGTGGACTAAAAGTCAGGCACAAGCTCTATTTGAAGTTAACAAGATGGGCAATCACAAATTTAAAAAATAATTTCCACCATTAAAGACTAAGAACAAGATGAGCCACTCTGAGAAATTTTCTAAGACTCTGAATGAAATAATTTACCTTCCTGTTGGTTTTGTTAAGTGAAAAAAAAGGAAAATTCCTTCAGCAAACATTCCAAAAATTGTTGCAACAGTCCGTATGTTTTAGAAATAATAATGAGCTATACTTACTACAACAGCACCCAATCGACACAGAATTTAAAAACCGAAAGATGTTTTAATTACTCACTTTAAGTCTTCTGCTTCATGACATAAAGATATGCAATTAGTACAAGGTATTTCACAAGTTTAAATACTTGAGAATAATAGCATTGATAGAGCAAAGGGAAAAGATTTCATTAAAACAAAGTTCTGCTGAAGATTATTATGCAGAACAGTGAATTTGAACTACTCCCTGTTTTCTGTGCATGACTCCACTAGACAATTTACATGCAATTAAGAATTCAAATTCTCTACTAGGTCTATTCCCTAGCTCCTTAAAGCGTTAACCAGACTATTTTAGTGGAGTTAATGAATCCCAAATTGCAAATTCTCAAATTGAATCAGAAGGCAGTTTGCTTGGGACACACGTGTCAGGACAAGTCCACTACGTCAGAAGTCAGCAGAGGGCACTGTGACACACCTACAAATTAATACTTTGCTGCTCTTTTGGCCCTGAAACATAGGAGGTCAGGCAGGAGTGGAGAACTCTGCCACAGACAGAAAAACTGCTGCTTCTTTCCATCACCAGTCAAGGAAGACAGGTATTCTTGATGGCTGTACACACGTAACAGGGCTTTGTGGGCCTGCTATGGACATACCCAGCAGGAAGTCACCACACCAGAATCAAAATGCTACATAAGAAAGAGCCTCAGGTCTTCATAGCTACATAGTATTTAAAAATCTGTTTCTTAAGGGCTTCTAAGGGAATGTACACACCTTCCAAACTCCAAAGACACAATTCAGAGACCCAAAGTCACTGAAATAGTTACAGCTGAGAAGAGACCAGGAAGGAAAACAGATCAAAAAAGGAAGGTAATGGACACCGAGTAAACAGGATAAGAAGGACATTCTCAAGACCATTGAAATTAAGACCTCTCATGTCACACCACTTCTACTTCTGTGCTACTTCTCACCTTCTGTTTCCATACGAATTTTGCTTTACTAGCAAAGTTAAACAATAATCTCAAAGCTGTCCAAGTTCTCATTGCACACTTTCACCTCCCTAAGAAATTGAACACTACCAAACTATTTAAATCCCACATCTAGGAAATAAGGATACAAGAAGGTGGAAAGGATTTATAAATAATAATTAGGACTCTCTTTTTAACAAAAATAATTAGGGCACATAGATGAGTGACCAATGGTGACAAGGAAACCAAGCTACATAGAACTGCACAGTACATTACCCTTTATTGTCTTGCAATAAATCTGTGGAGAACAGTAGCTGTTCTCTTCATTCCCTGTGCTATTGGGTTAGGCTCACAGAGGACTTTAACTTATGCAAATACAACCCTTAGGAATTCAGGGGGGAAAAATCCAACTAACTACACAAGAATTTGGTCTTCAGAAATTAAGGTGCTCAGCACTGCTGCCATTTCCCTTGAAACCAACACGGTCTAAGCGGTTAAAATAGGAATTCTCTGTTTGGTGCTCTTACATAATAAAGCAGAAACAGGTTGAGCAGCTCCATGTGATGTACAGAAAGCAAGAGTATGACTCTAGCCTATAGCATCATGTACAGCTTATGAGAAGACCACACTGACAAAGTGCACCAACAGCAATTCCTCCCGCAGACTCTCTTTCAAACCTCTGTTGTTCTTTGCCAATTCTGGAACACGATGTTCTACTTTGCAAGTTGCAATTATGTGACAAATCTCAGAGAGGGCAGCAAGAGGGAAAAGGACTGCTACTTATCTAGGTGGTTGGACTGCAGCAGGAAAATATACGTGGCAGTATGAGAAAGCTTCCTGACAAAGTTCTCAGATGAAATTACACCAGACAGCTTAAGGAGGATATCTGCCCAACAAAACAAAAAAATCCTATTATGTCCTGCTGTGGGTCACACACTCCTGCTACTTTATGCTGATTTGGAAGTTTGTTGGACTGCTTTGTGAGCAGATTCACTTCATTTGCCTGGCAAAAACTCACACAGAGCAAATCTCAGCTCAAGCACTGAGAACCCCAGAGTCACAGTGCTACCCAGCAAACAGCATGAGGAAGACTATGCTGCCCAAATATTACTCAACTTTAGGAGGGAGTATTATTCAAATGAGCACAATAACTCATCAGTTTCAGGAAGGAACAGTACAATGCCTATGAAAAAATCAGGCTGCACTGCAGTTTATTCTTTCTCAAACAGAAGTTACACAACACGTAACATGATGCTTCTCACATAAGCCTCTTTGGCTTTCAAAAACTCAAGTTTAAAAAGTGCCGTACACAACACTACCAATCTACCTCTTGAGCTGATAATCTATACTCAGCATAGACCGCCATCTCACACTCGCAAGCATTCTTCTAGTCCTCTCAACTCTGCTACAGGTTAAAAAGGAAACGTTACCAGATTTTATAGGTTATTTTGGATCAATTTACAAGTAACGGTTGCAATTTGTGCGTAACAGGTACAAGCAGCCCGAGTCGGCTGGCTGCGCAAGCCCGGGAAACAAGCACTCAGAGCAGGAGACACACGGAGTACCCATAAGCCCGGTGCAGGTCTTGCGGGAGTTTTTGGGACTGCAAAGACTCTTTAAGTCACACAGACCCCCAAGGGGAGCGCAGAGCACGCGGCTCAGGAAGCTGGGGGAAGGAGAAAAGGGACGCCAACCGCCACTCCCCGCCCGCCCCTCATCGGGACCACTCCCGCCCCAGGAAATAAGTCGCTTCCCGCAGCCCCAGTCTAGCACTCACACGACCGCTCGGGAAATCATCCAGGACACCATCGCGGCGGCGGCACCGACACTTCTCCCCAGCCGGCCGGGCCGCAATGGCCGCAGCCCAGCCCCGCCCGCCCCATTGGCTCAGGGGCTGCGCGCCTGCGCTGTGGGGCCTAGTGGGCGGGGCCGCACCGGACAGGGCTGGAGCGGGTGGAGACCTCGGCGGGGAGTCAGGGAGTTCGGCGTGGACAGGCCTGGGGAAAGTGCGTACTCCTGCCTCTTCACCCAGGACCGGTCTAAGCAGCAGCAGCGTCGATCCTAGACCCCCACACGGATACAGCCTTTGCAGATGACCCGGAAAAGAGAGGAACAGATAGAAGTCGTTAAGATTGCAGTAAGGCACTTTTCTCCCCTTCTCACCTCCTCTCTTTGAAGCAACTCTAGAAGAGGGGTGGGATACTCACCCCTTGCCTTGGTCTTTGCCCTGTGCTACCCATGTTCTCGCAGTGCTGTAGGATGTTTGGTAAGCCAAAACATCCGTGTCATATATTGAAGCCACCTCAGGTTGACCTGCTGCCCCGGAGCATGCTGGAGGAGTTAGATAAAGGTTTTGTACGTTACCTAGGGACACCGGCTGGAGCCCTGCCTTCTGAACAGAGCATGGGACCAGCCTGCTCCCTGGGCTCTTGCACCCCTCTGAAGCACTGTGAGAAGGTGCTTCTCCTCTATACTTGCTGACAAGCACTCAGACCCAAAGACAGTTTAAGCTCACGTCCTTAGTTGGGCAACACAGATTGTTACATGCAGTTAATCCAAAACTGCAGATGACCAGGAAGGATTAGTGCCTGTCTGCCTTGTTACTTTTGTTTCTTCCCCTATACATCTTTTTACCAGCTGCTGCCCAAGGCCCGACGGCAAGCAAGGCAGTCAACAGTGTAACGCAGTCTGAGTACTCTTGCCAAGGTCGTGGTCTGGCAGGTTGAGACATGCAGGAGAAGCTGATTGCTCCCTGATATGTTAGTTAATCCATTGCAATCCATCTCTGCATGTTAGTTTTACATTTCCTGCAGAACTGTTTGCACACATAAAAGGACAACATTTTTCTGAAACTGACTGCCTTATCGTTTCTCAGAAGACTAAGTTGTATGAAGTTCTGCCCAAGCCATCGCTGAAAACATTCCATTTTACTCTTGATTTCAAAAAGTGTAACAGAGCAATATCCAAAGTGATGGATGTTGATGCTGCTGAACATGCCACGCAGCACCTAAGGTAGGAAAAGAGTAGATTACAATTTCAGCACCATTCCTGCTGCCTCTCACAGTTCACATGCCAAAGTCAGTGTCACAATCTCTACAAGAAATTAGTTCTTTAATGTATCTTTAAGTGAGGATAATAAGTTTCTCTGCCTGCCATACAGAAAGAAGAAAGAGCTTAATCTGTATAAGCTTCTGTCTTATTCAGATGAATAAGAATTTCTCACCACTTACCTCCCACCACTAAAACCCAGCCATGGGCATCTTCACTCCCCTGCAGCCTTCAAACACACCACGCACAGTCAAAAGGCTGAAAGGAGGGAAAGAAAGAGGATAAATAAAGAATTGTTGAACATTTAAACAGTGACAGCGTTTGAAAACTGTTGTTATAGTTGTATACTGTGAAATTTGAAGCCTGAAATGAGAAAATAGACAATGTAAAAAGAAATTATTTTTAACCATGCAGAAATTCTTACAAACGATACTGCCCATCTTGGGTATCTCCTCACACTGACCTTTGTAGGAGGTTACTGATGCAGGAAGTGGTAGAGAGGAATTTGTTTGTGAACAATTTAAAGTACACCATTCATCAATCTTATTTTTGAAACAAGCCTAACCTGAAAGCATTCTTTCTTTCATTCAATGAAAGGAGAAATCCAAACCACTGCTTCTGTGCTCTTTGAATAACAAACCTCTCCAATGGTAGACTGTGCAGAGGAAATTCACACAGCAAAGTATTTGTAATGCAAATTACCTGGCAGAGATTACATTTTAGGCTGCAGTTCTGTAAACTTCTGCTGCCTGCCTGATGCCCCACTGAAGTTTGTAGCATTCCAGTCCACTTAGAGCAAACTGAAGGATGAGAGCTCTAGTTCATAGCGTATGAAATGAAGTATACAATGCATTTCTTTACTGCAAGCAATTATGTTTGGTACTAGCTCAGAGAACTATTCCAGGAAAAGACTGATACTCTTTTTTTTACTGTCTGAGATGGTATATACAATAATTCCATAGCTGCATAATTTATTTTATATGGAATATGTTTATACAAAATAAAAAGTGTTTTTTCTCTAAGAGACATTTCTTTTTCTTGCGTTTGTTACCATGGCAATACTGCCTCTGTTGGAAAGCTAAATTTGCATTTAAAGAGACATTGTTTTTAAAGGGTAAAGGCAGATGTCTCCTGAGAGTAATTTGTCTTGCTCAGAAGATTACGCTTAATTTCTTGGAATGTTTTGAGATTAATTTAGTGCAACAAGCTGGGTGGTGTTTGCTGGGCCCTCAGCAGACAGGCACAGGGATGCCCCATGAACTTCCCTGTATTCTAGTTCACACATAATGCTAACTGGTGCTCCTACACAGGAGAAACACAGGGAGCAGCATACCAATTAAATCCATGCCATGTACTTACTCAAACTTGGTGTGTCTTACTCATATGTCTGTCTATTTCTGTGTAAGGAAGAGACTTACAGATATCTCATTATAAGATATTTTTAACACCCCTTCCAAAAGCCACTTACTGTAGTTAAAAGTTGCTTTAAATAGTTTTAACAGTTTGGAAAATAATTTGTAAAGGCCGCCTAGCTTCGTCCATGTAATACAATATATGTATACAAACATCAATGTTTAGCTCTCACCTTTTTTAAAGGTAAACAAACATTTTAATTACATTGCAGCTGTGCAATCAGTGAATGAACAACATTTAGGAAGACACAAGCTAGTCTGTAAGAGAGGGATTCAATTCCCTGCATTACAAGGATATGCTCCCCAAAGACAGAACCACTTGCATCACATATGTTAAAAATACACATAAGTTGAACACAGGGATGAGTTTTTCTTGGCTTCACTCTTTTATATTCATCTATCCTAGATGAGTCTCAAATGTAGAAGAATTTTTAAAAAATAAAGATTTCTTTCAGTCCTGAATCATACCACATACATTAGTAATTTTGGGATCAGAACACAGAGCAGATGATGACAGTTTATCTGTTAAAACAGTAATACAGAATGGGTGAAGATGACTATTTATTACACTACTCTAAGCTGATGTTATTACCATAACTGATTATTAATTATATGGTTGAAAATTATGGTTTATCCTACCTAAAAGTATGTTACTCTTCATCTACCCTTCCTGTGCATGAAGCAACAGCAAAGGTAGGCTCTGATCTCTAGAAAAAAATCCTTCTGCCCTAATGGGGTTTAATTTGAAAGTGAGTGTTGGGCAATGCTATGCACGTTTTAAGAAATCAAAGCAGCTGAAGCTTTTGCATGGAATTCTGGACTTCTTGCTCACATGTATTTCAGCCTCCCAGCACAGCATCCTGCTGAAGAACCTGGCAAAGCCAGTTGTGTCTAATACAGCTGTGTCTTAAGTTTTTTTTATTCCAGCACACAGACAGAATGCTAAGAGGCCATATGTGGACACACACATTTAGAGAGCTAGGGAATTACAGCTTGGAAATTCTTTTCAGGCCTGGATTTTTCCTGTCTTTCAGGTCCATTCCCAGGCTGACAAGCTGACTACAGCTTCAGTTAGGGAGGAAGTCTCCCAGTGTGATATCATGGTGAAAAACAGAGTGGAATTCATAATAAAGATTAACACCTGGTGTCTTTCCCGTGGGATACATCCTGAGGTACTGTCCCAAGGATGTTTTTCCCAATTGTCCAGTGAGCTACTGTCCTGTCCTAGCTGCACGTAACACACTTTAAATACAGGATGTCCGTACAATAAAGTTGGCCTTTTTCCCCAAAGAGGTCCATGTGTGTTGCTGTCCTTTCTCTTTCTTTGCAGTGCAGTAACCACAGCCCTAAATTTATTTCTTTCAGAAATGTTTGTGTCAAATTTATTAACATTCCGAATTAGGAATGTAAAGCACACAACTTAATGAAAAACCAAAGTTTTCAAATGGATGTTCCTGCTTTTTTTTTTTCATTTGGCAGGTTTAACCACTATTGTTCTCAGTTTTATTACAGTCTGACATTCCTTTTAAAGCTCTTGCTTCAATATGAATAAGTGAAAGCCTTAGGTTTTGAATAATTTCTTTCCCTCATGTTCACAGATATACCTGCAAATGCAAAACCTGAAAACACAAACTGCAATACAATGTAAAATTCATGGTTTAAGGCGTTTCTTGATGTCAGTTTCCTGATTTTCAGGGCCCTGACAATTCCAGTTAGTACTGAATTTTAAGCAAAATAGAATTTGGAATTAAAAAGGCATCTAACTCGAGTTGTAGGAAGACTGCACTGTGTAGAGGGGAGTCCTTGCAAGCAGAGAAGTTAGCAAATGCAGTAGGCCCAGAGACTTTTTTTCAAGACTGTGAAAGAATGATGTCTAGCACTGTTAATTCTGTGAGTTGTAAGTCAGGAAAAGCAGATAAGGCTGAGACAGAACACTGAAAGCAATTCAGAACAGCCCTATCAATATAAAGCCAAAGCATTTTCATCACTCCAGCACCTGCCTCTTGACTGCAGCAGTCAATTCAGACAGAATCCAATTAGTCTAGTAAGTACAAATATTCAAGGGGTATTCTACTTACTGTTTTAAAGAAAATTCACCATGCTATGAAAAGGTTTGTCATGCAACTGCCGATTAGTTTAATAAATTTTTAAGGGGTTGCAGTGGGTTAAGTGCCTCCAGTTCTTTCTTACCAGAAACATAAAAGCAACCCATTAGGATTTTTTTTCTTAAGGGAAGTGTGATCTAAAGCGGAAGGGGAGAGTTCAGAACAGCTCCATCTGAGACTTTCTCCTGGCAGCAGTTGTACATCCACCCTACCTTATTGCTTCCATTTGGAGTTGAAAGCATATAAAATGCAGCCCCCACAAGAGCAAGCTGAGGCA